TGAATCGCTCTATGTGTTCTAGAGTAGACACCTCTCCTAAACCAGTAAACAATAAGAATTCTGGCACTTTGTACCCTCTAGGTCATGGATATGCTTGGTCTACCCAAACAGGATATGGCTTGGTGTAAGTCGGCCTAATGACATGACGTACTCCAAAAGCCATCTGGTTGTGCACGATTTCCATAATCTGATTCCTCAACATGACGTTGGGGTCATATGGAATTCCTACAGGTTGGTTGACCAGTTGATTTGCTTGAGGCCTGATGTTTGGTCCTTGATTGGCAACAAAGTTACCGTGATTTGGGCCATTGTTACCATTGGACTGAACATTTATTCCATCATTAACACGTGGGGTATTCTACCCATTATTTAGGACATTATCTCTTACATTTAGGTTACCCCCCAAGTTAGATGTACCAATGCCACTATTCTGATTTGGTATTACACCACCCCCTGGTTTAAAGTAGAGAGATCAAAAAGTGGTTCTACCCCTTAATTTAAACTTAGGACTGGGGGATTATGTCCCACAATTGTCCTAGTTTGAAAGTGGTTTGCAAGAGGCACAACTGGCTGACAAATTTGGCCTACTAACTTATTCATTATTTCGTTCAAAGTATTCAGTTGTTTGGCCATGTTGTCATAATGTGCATTCCCATTATGGGTAAATCTTTCCATATTATGAATATTTCGTAGATTTACCTGTTCAACGATATTTTGTGTGAGTTCTCCGAATAATGCACGCATGGTTCGAGGACTCAACTCTGTCATTGGTTCGTAACAACTGTGATTGCTCTGATTCTGTCCATCTGTTCGTCGAGAACTATGCTGCTCCTCATATCGCTCGATCACAGACTGGACTCCTCCCTGTCTTGCTGCTTCCTTATCGGATTTCTAAGGCATATTGTTTCATCTTTTGTATCTTCAACACCAAACACCAAGGTCCCACTGGGCGTGCCAAATTGTTTCGCGCGGGTAATCGCTAACAATTAAAAAATGATCAGACGATTGTGTAAAGAACAAACCTCTTGAGACAAAGTCCCAAAAAGGGGTGCTTTATTTGCGATGACTTTACAATTGGAACTAAACAGAATGCCTCCAAGGAGCGCAAGCACACGAGTACTGAAAAGAAATATTTAAGTCTAAACTAAGAAATTGAAATTACATATTCTCTGTTTGAGAGTGTTTGATTCGGGTCTTTTGCTCTGTCTTTTCTTCCTTTTATATTCCCTTGATGATCTCTTCGTGATCAACCGCTTAGAAACTGATTAATTGCTTTATAACTGCCCACTTTCTTAATGGTGGCCAACTTATCGTGGAACTGCTGTCTATAACTACCACTACGCTTAGAAACTGCTTAACTGCTGCCACTACTCTTTGTCGTTCAACCGTCTTCAACTGAATTTCTTGAATCGTGGAACGTGATAAGATTACTCAATAACTGTTTCGATAACTACACTTTTGGATAATCATAACATCTTATATTTGCTAAGATCCTGGGCGATTCGAAGGTTTGGGCGAGAACAGGGTCATAATCTTGGGCGACTGCAAGGCACTTCATTCGCTCAGATCTTGGGCGTCTTGCAAGTTTGGGCGATGGTGTTACCGCGTTCGTGGGCTTCCACTGCATTCATTAATAACCCTCTTTGGGTATTTATCCTTAATTGCCCAGTTTGGCTTCATTCTTTGGGTTATTCGATTTGGGCTGCACTTTTAATGTGTCAACAGAAATAAATAGGTTAATTTACATATTGATCTGATTCATATTGTTGCATTCAGTCTCTTTACTAAAGTGCTCACAAAACCTCACGACTCATCCTCAGAGTAAGGTCAGCTTTCAGTTTTAAGTTAATCAACAGAAATTCACATGTAATATATATATATAATCCAAATCATATTCAACAAAACTACGTTAGCAAATCACGTCTAAAGTTTCAGAAACCCTGACATAAACCCTCATTTTTCTAACATTTGATACTTATCTGTTACTGCTGAACGAATAGTCAATCGCCTTTACTTGTTAGCCTATTAATCTCTACCTGAATCGCCTCTTTTTCTCTTCTTTTACAGTAATTCTTAGATTCTTATTCAAGCCATTTTTTCATTATTCTTTGCGATTTGGAAAGAATGAAGGACGAGGAATATTGATTATGTGAAAATGTTAAAGTTTTTTAACTAGCACTACTACTTTCATAAAATAGTTAAAGGATGATATTCTCAATTCACAATAGGCCGAAACTCCATCAATCTCTGTACATCTAAACATATCATATTCAATCTTTATTTAACATCTCAATAGCAAGATGAAAAGAGTTTTAACCAAACTATAATAATAGAATATAACTCTACATTTATCAACCGCTATATGATAATATGAATGTCAAACAAGAAAATGTAAATACAAATAAAAAAAGATATATTTGTTCTATTAACATGCTTTAGGAACCAACTTTCAAAATATGAATGTAATTTAACATTTAACATTATTAGCTCTCGTTTAAACTTATATTTAACTAATATTAAATACATTACTATAATATTGTAAAGTAAACTGCGGATTAAAATCGAACCAAACCGCAAATTATGGTTTGGTTTGGTCCGAAAAGTAAAATGGTTTGATTTGGTTTGAAAAGATTTCAAACTGCATAAAATGGTTTGAGTTGAAAATATAGTACAAATCGTTCAAATCGAATCGCGTTCACCCCTACATTTTATGTACACCAAGATTTATCATTATATTTATTATAATCCCTATGTACACAAGATTGGGCTATAGAAGTGGGCCTTACGTCATGTAATGTAATCTTTATTTCACACATTCTCGAAAACATTAATTCAAATTTGACTATAATTGTCCATGTCTCCATGACATTTATCCTATTGCTTACCTATCATGCTCCGATTCAAACTCAAATAGATAGAATACTTTCGATATAACACAAATACTTTGCACGATAAGAATAAGGATTACAATTAATTGAATTCTTTTATAACTCTACCACCTACGTCTATAAACACATGACAGAGTTCATTTTTCATTATTTTTCTCTCTTTGACTTAAGTATCGGAGGGACGACAATGACATATCTCGTCTTTGTTTTAGGTACCGAAAAATTTTATTCGTGATCAATCTCAATCATCAAGTTCAAAAATCAACACGTAGCATCAATTATGGAAATTGATGGGAAAGAAAGTTCTAGTTGACACGGGCCATTCGACAATATATCCAAAAATAATAATAAGCTGCCAGCGGATCGCATAAAACTATATAAATGCACATGAAATCCTCAACCTCTTCGCCTTTTTTTTGTGTGTCTCGTGAAGGTGAATTACGTGGCTTCAAAATCTGTATTCTGAAATCTGGGCAAGGTACAAAAAAGATTGCTGTTTTAATTTGTCAATGAAATTCTTGTGATTCTCTGTGAAGGCGCCGTTTAAGCCCTACAATCTCCGTATCCCATCGATCAATTTTAATTGAAATTGCCAAAAGGTGATTCTGCTGTAAGTTTCAATTGGTCCCATATGGTAATTTTTTGTTAATATGTTGAACCATTTTTTGTTCTTAATGTTGAGTTATCGTTTTTATGATTATCTTCAAATCTTCTGGTGTATGGGCTTGAGTTCATGTGTTGAAATTCAGTTGGAAATGACGAAGGCTTTTGCGTACAACTTGTCACACGGCCAGTGGACTTATTTTTTCAGTACAATTTATGACAGTAATTTGCAGAACTTGAGACCTTTCTTAACAAAAGGTGACTGGGCATTTAATGGGATTTTATAAGTTTGAATACTTGTGAAAGAAGTGCATAGTTTAGAATGCAATTTTGTCATCATTCTTGGATTGTCGCCTGTTGATGATGTGCAAGGCAGCAAGGGCAAATTCAAGTATAATTCTAGAGTTATGCCATTGTACAAGATTGATTTTATCAGAATTGTGCCAGATTAACACTTGACAGTATTTTATTGGTAATTAAAAAATGTTTTTGGGCCAACTACCAATTAAATGCTGCCAAGTGTTAATCTGACACAATTCTGGTAAAATCAATCTGATAACGTAACATAACTCACAATTCTAAGTAGTTTTTTTATTCTTTGTTTATAAACTCAGAAAAAATGAATATCTTGAATTTTATCCTGGGTTTGTATACGTATACTTTCCTGCATACCCCTTTCACATGGTTTGTGTCCTTCTGTGGAAGTTGCATCCTTAAGGAGATGTTATCTCTCTTGGAAGGGAGATGTTATCTCTCTTGGAAGAGAGACCCATTCAAATGTACAACTTTTAGTAAATAGACATAACTATTTAACAATATAAATAATATTTCAACTTTGTGATATTTGTATATTGTAATTCCTGCACATAACCATGTATTGTTTTATCATATCCATCATATACAGTTCCCGGAGTCAATCTAACTGGTTTATTACCCATGTAGATCATAGGAGAAAGTTTCTTTGTTTGGAAAACTGGGAATTGATAGGGCCAATATCTGCTGCATGCTGATTCATATGCTGCATGGTTTTAGGATGTAACAAGTTTTATTCTTATCCATTTCTTTTGTAGGCTCATTAAATTTGTTTGCAATGTGATATTTGTTTAATATATTTTGATTTCTGTTTCATTTTATCTTTTAGTGGCCGTATGATAAGAGCAAACTTTGGGAAGCAATATTAATGTTAAATATATTTCTTTACTCTTTCCTTATGGTAGTTTATACTTATTTTGTTTTGTAGTTGATGTGAATTTTTACTTTGTTTTATAATTCTGCACAATTGTCATTTTACTGGAAGTGAAAACCCTTTGTTGAAAGTGTTAAGTTCAAAACAGTTTGCGTTTTATTTTTTCAATGCTGAAGTTATTGGATCCTTGATTAACCACAATGCTCTTATATTTGAGGTCAATGTTTTTTGTACAGATGCAAGTATAGTTGTTCGTGATATAAAATAAGTAAAAGGAGAAGAAAAAGATGTTGCTTTTCTTGGCTGATTTACAGAATAAGACGATGACATCTGGTGGAGAAGATATTCTGAGTGCAATAGTACCACTGCTAAAACTTCTCTCCCTTACCCTTATTGGATTAGTTCTTGCGCATCGAAGAACCCAAATTACCCCAAAAGACACATTCAAGCTACTTAGCAAGCTTGTATTTGCCCTTTTCTTACCCTGCCTGATCTTTACCCATCTGGGGAAATCCATTACACTCAAAAACATCGCTGAGTGGTGGTTTATTCCTATTAATGTGTTGGTTAGTACAGCCTTTGGTTGCATCTTGGGGATCTTGGTGGTGATCATATGTCGGCCACCTCCTCAATTTACTCGATTCACTATCATCATGACTGCATTTGGTAATACCGGTAATCTTCCTATTGCCATCATTGGCTCCGTTTGTCATGGTGAAGAGAATTTATTCGGTCCTGATTGCAAGCAGAATGGGGTTGCTTATGTATTTTGATTGAACACGTTCCAACTTACATTTTATGGCTAAAATTCAAATCCTAATTTTGATTTTGACCCATCTTAGAAATTCCTAGTCTATTATGGTTGTAGGTTCGATTGTTATTAAGAAAGGTTCAATTCTTTCTAAATGAAAGAATTTGAAAAATGAGATTAAATTATATTCACAATTAAAAATAGTTAATAAGTTTGTTATCTTTGTAACAAAGTGGGTTTCCGTGATTCTTGTCTATACCCTTGTTTATCACATGATGGAGCCTCCGCTGGAGTATTATGAGATTGTTGGGGAGGAGGGCGAGAAACATGAACAACAACAGTCTGATGAAGCGAGTAAACCTTTGCTTGTAGAAGCTGAATGGCCTGGCATTGAAGATGAAGAAATCGAAAATTCCAAGACACCCTTAATAGCTAGGATATTTAAAGCCTCATTTATTGTTTCACAGACCGCTTTGCCTGATATCCAGCAAGAAGTCGAAGATAGTGGGAACAGTCCCGTGCCTATTAGGTGTTTGGCAACACCTAGAGTCGTCAGGAAGATGCGAATTGTTGCCGAACAGACTCCAATCTGGAACATACTACAGCCTCCAACGATTGCTTCTCTTTTAGCGGATATTTTAGAAGTCTCTTTCCGTACGACAATCTGAGGTCACAACAAAATTCATGTTATAATGCCCTCCAGGGCACATCCCAACTGGTAAAAATGAGGGCGCTTCAAGGTTGGTAGATCAGAGGTTGTGAATTCGATTCCTGGAAGGCTCTTGGAAGGCAAATATCTCCTGGAAGGCAAGGTGCAAAGATGGGAAACGACTTGCTTGGCACTTTAGCAGATTAGTTGGAGGGACTTTTGAGCACTGGTCAGTTTGGGGCACAACTTGCGGTTTAACCTGTCTGCAACTTGAGGGGCCAAAGTGTAGACTCTAGGATTTAGTCACTGTAAGGTGGATACCTGAATATCAAAAAATAAAAATAAAAAAAATTCATGTTATAATGTCTAATACCATCAACATATTGTACCAGTATGCTTTGAGGCAGTTAGAAAATAAGACCACCGGTGGACAAAAAGAATATCAAATTTGAATTTTAAGTTGTTTGCTATGCTCATATTTGGCGAATGGCACAAGAATTAAAATATTGGTTATGGAGAGGATCAAATATCAATTACTGATTGTCTTGATAAAAGCAAATGAAATTTATTGAAAAACTGCCAACAGTACAAAAATTTTTTAGGCCTTCCGAAAATTGCAACAATAACGTGTTTGATTCTTGAAGACAGGCCTTACAATTTTTTTAAAAAATATATATATATTGGTCAAATTTAATTTTTAACAACATTTTTATTAGATACGCAACTTCTGTTCACTTTTTAACCACGCATATTTTTTTTTAGATTTACCAATTTAAAATCTCCTAGAATCTTTGAGAGACTATATTTGTAAATAGCATCTTACGTATAATAGGAATATCTTTAAATTTAGAAAGAAATTTTTCATACTCTCCAACAATACTTTCTATTTTGGTTTTTTATTTTTCTTTTCTTAATAAGTATATTATTATTTATTGTCTTATTGTCTTCTCATCATTTTTTCTTTTAACTTATTTTTCAGACATCAATGACCAATGACTTTTTTGATATGATTTGAATAATTTGTAAAGTAGAGTACTAAAATTTGATACTTATTAAATGCAATTTTTAGAAACTAAGAGTGACCCCAACTCTATAAATTCAAAGAGCTAAGTTAAAATAAAGAATCCCTTGAAACTTACTTTTATGCATTGAATCCTCAAAATAGAGAACGTCTTGTATTTTCAAAACCTCCTTAAAATACCCTCAAAAAGCTTCGTCAAATGGGGCTAAAACTGCAACCATACAAAAAAATGTTAGGCCTTAGATAAACTGCAACAATAACATGTTTGACTCTTGAACATAGACCTTACAATTTTTTTTAGATTATAAATTTGTCAAATTTAATTTTTAACATGTTTTTTAACCATAAATATTTTTTAGATTTACCAATTTATAATCTCATAGGCCATAGCATCTTTGAGAGACTCTAGCTGTAAATAGCATCTTACATATAATGCGAGTATGCTTAAATCTAGAAAGAATTTTTCATGCACTCCAATAATACTTTCTATTTTTATTTTCTATTTTTTGTTTGGTAATAAATATTTATTGTTTTCTCATCATTATTTTAACATATTTTTCAGATGTCAACTCAGACATGATTTCAATAATTTGTGAAGTAGAGTACTGAAATCTGATACCTATTAAATGCAATTTTATAAGTTAAAGAGAATGAATTTCACTCTTCAAATTTAAAGAGCTAAGTTAAAATAGTGAATCTTTAGAAACTTATTTTATGCATTGAATATCCAAAATAGATAGCATCTCGTTTTTATTGAGTCTCCTAAAAAGGCTCTCAAAAACTTTGTCAAAGGGGCTAAATATGCTCTAAGTCGAATGTCTGATAATCAAGATTGCAAATCACTATATGTCGAATTACCTATAATTTTTTAATAGTCATAAGCAATGATTCTAAACTTGGACTTCGCACAACTATCGGTATAATTGTAGCAAGGCTACTGGTTCTTCCTTTACTTGGAATTGGGGTCGTGACATTGGCTAATAAGCTACATCTTCTGGTTGATGGTGATGAAATGTATAAATTTGTACTCCTGTTGCAGTATACAACACCAAGTGCTATTCTCCTGGGAGCTATTGCCAGCTTGAGGGGCTATGCCGTTAGTGAATCATCAGCACTTCTTTTTTGGCAGCATCTATTGGCACTATTTTCCCTTTCCTTTAATATTGTTTCATACTTTAAGTTACTCTTGTAAGTCACATGTGATAAAACTCCAAACTAGTTCTTCAAGTGTAAGAAATCAGATTCAGTGGAATAAAAATATTCATTGTTCAAGACTTTTAAGGTACATGTCTTTATATCAGTCTTCTTTTCTTTATGGGCTTGAATTTTCTTGAGTCACACCGACCTTACCTAGGAAAGATTCATGAGCACGACACTCTTCGGGAAGGTAAACCGTTTAATTCATTGATTCTGAGGCAAACCATATGGTGTTGCAGGTTAAATGAGCTTTACCTAGGCATCCAAACTTTGTGGTTCGCCCGACCATTCTCTACTTGTCTAACTTCTAGTGACGTTTTTGCAGTTTCATGGTTGCAATAAATTTTCTTTTATAGTCGAAATTAGGCTGGTGTCCGATGTATATATGAGAAAGCTCCCAATGCCTTTCTAGCTTGGATCAACCCAACCCAAGCTCCTGGGTCACCATCAAATGGGCTTCATTGGGATCCCATTTTTATCGATAAATAGGAATTTGTATAGATCAAAATTAGTATACAACTACGCTGGGCAAACAAGATTAAAGATGTACAATAATTACAATGAACTAACAGCCCATAGCTATCGACTCAAAATGAACTAAAACATGAGGATACAAGGTGAACATTGGGATCTTACATGGTTTATATGTGCAAATAATTACTATTCAAAATAATTTCTATTCGGGTTCGGTTCATTTGATCTATTAGGTTAACCAAACATTGTAAGCTAGTTTGTTTGTCATTAATAAGTGTCCATGAATGACTCGAAGTCTAATGCCATTCAAAACTACGAAAATATAGTTGTCCAATTATTATGATTAAGACAATGTTATTTAACATTATTAGTGGTATAACACTAATTTATATGACACTAAACCTCATTAAATGAAAGATACAATCATATAATGTCACATTTAATTGAACTTATCACACAATGCCACATAAATTGGTGTTTTAGCACCCCTAGCGTTAGATAGTATTATTCATTCAAAAAGAGCTTTATTTAAATTTGGATTTCTCTAGCACGCCAACCTTTGGAATAAGACAATATCCTAAAATGGTAAGGAATGGTAAGACAATAAGGACAAATATCAAGTCTTATGAATCTAGATGTGATAAGGCATTTTCTTATTTTAATATTATTTTAATTATTATTAATAATAATTCTTTTTATTTATAAATTTATGTTAAAAATTAAAAAGAAAAATGAAATAGTTCGCGTCTTTTGGCGCTTAGGCTTGAACACATTTTCCACATGCGAGGTGCTTTCTCCATGCCTAAGTGGACCAAGTTTGTTCCTTTGTCATTTTTTCATTGAAATGAAATTTAGTCTCCATTAACAATCATACAAGTAAGCAAAAATCAATAATTTTCACATTCAAAGTATTCAAAACTTAACCAAAAAGTCGAATTAACTGGTCGAGATAACTGTAAAAAACACAAGCATCACCTTCTTCGTTCCCTTTTATATTTCACCTTACTAATCTCGTTTTGCATTTAGTTTTGGAAAACTATTTGCACCTTGTCCAAGGATTATTCGTATTTCTCTTACATCTCTGCTCGTACACAGAGTGCAAAACATGATTTTGCAAGGGATCCAACTCTCTCTCGTGTATGTATCCCCATTCCCAATGCAATGTTAGAGATAAATTTCACATCGAATAAAGATTAAATTAAGTTTCTTCTCTGAACGATTTTAACATTTGAAGATCAAGAAATGCCAAATCTTATTACGAAATAAATGGCTTCTAGAGCTTAGGAGGTTTTTGAAATATTAGGCAGATAACTGACCTTTTGAATTTGAAGCATTGTTTTGCTAGCATGTAAAATGCATGCAGAGAAAAGAAATGGCCGCCTATTTTGTCAAAGGTAGTCAGCATTGGGCTTTGACTGGTCTAATTCCAGTCTCATTTCTTTCAAGACCTTCTCTTTGATTGAACACGTTCCAACTTACATTTTATGGCTAAAATTCAAATCCTAATTTTGATTTTGACCCATCTTAGAAATTCCTAGTCTATTATGGTTGTAGGTTCGATTGTTATTAAGAAAGGTTCAATTCTTTCTAAATGAAAGAATTTGAAAAATGAGATTAAATTATATTCACAATTAAAAATAGTTAATAAGTTTGTTATCTTTGTAACAAAGATATTTTAGAAGTGACTCTTTCCGTATGAAAATTTGAGGTCAAAACAAGATTCATGTTATAATGTCTAATACCATAAACATATTGTACCAGTATGCTTTGATGCAGTTAGAAAATAAGACCATCGGTGGACAAAAAGAATATCAAATTTGAATTTTAAATTGTTTGCTATGGCGAATGGCACAAGGATTAAAATATTGGTTATGGAGAGGATCAAATATCAATTACCGATTGACTTGAAATTTATTGAAAAACTGCCAACCGTACAAAATTTTTTTAGGCCTTCCGAAAACTGCAACAATAATGTGTTTGATTCTTGCACACAGTCCTTACATTTTTTTTTTAAATTATAAATTGGTCCCAAATTTAATTTTTAACATGTTTTATTAGATACACAACTTTTGTTCGCTTTTTAACCACGCATATTTTTTTTTTTAGATTTACCCAACTTATAATCTCGTAGAATCTTTGAGAGACTATATTTTTAAATAGCATCTTACATATAATAGGAATATCTTTAAGTTTAGAAAGAAATTTTTCATACTCTCCAACAATACTTTCTATTTTGGCTTTTTATTTTTCTTTTCTTAATAAATATTTTATTATTTATTGTCTTATTGTCTTCTCATCATTTTTTCTTTTAACTTATTTTTCGGATA